TAGGCACATAAATTTTCAAAAAGCTTAATGCGTATAGATATAAGTGTTAAGATGATTTTGACGTTTCAGAAAGTGGGACAAGAATGTGCTTAGGATTGTGTTTAGGATATAAACGCTATTTGTGTAGTGTAGATAGAGGTATAATAAAAAAGATTATAGTATTGTTTAATTGATATTTCTATTTACTATATTATGTTTTTTTAGTGTTGGAAACAAAGTTATGGGTATTTAGGAGTCAGTCTGTCCTCTCGACTTCCCTTTTAGAACGTTAAAGAATATTACAAAAAAGTATTGTGTTATTTTATCAAAAAGCGGAGACAACCGAAATCATTGTAACTAATACTTACATAACTCCATTGCATATTTACGGGATAAGAGTACAGACATAAAAAGTACAATTGCAGGTAAATTTTTGCAAACTTATTCGCATGCAAATCTAATATAGAAATATTCATTGTTTTATCGTTATTTCTATTAATTGTGACGTTTTTGTTTTACGTCTTGCAAGCAATTTTTAGGGTATATAGGAATCATTCTTTCCACACGACTGTCCGTTTATAAGTTTAAGTATTTAAAAAGGTATGATATGAGTAGTTGTACAGAATATAAGAAACAATATTGTGTCATATTTGGGCAGAAAGGGGAGAAAACGGAAAGCATCGCAGCTTTCCCTGCAACACAAACTTTCTCTTTACATCATATTTCCGGGATAAGAGTACCAACATAAAAAGTCAAATTGCAGACTTCTTCGGAAGGAGGTATGATATGAACAATAATAACATGGTCTTATCGTTTCTTTTTCCGTTAACAGTGTCATAATTTTACATGTCTTACAAACAAGTTTGGAGGTATATATGCATTATTCTGTCCACACTGCTCAAGGCGCAGTTCAAAGCGCAATTACTTTATTAATATGATGCCAATAGTTTCGCAAGTTTACAAGAAACTTGGTTTCATTCCGGAAAGAAAGGAGAAAAAACCAACAGCATCAAAGCAACTATCCACTTTCACTGAATCATACATGTACTTTTCTTTAATAAAATATTGACGGGTTAAGAGTACTGACATTAAAAATAAAATTGAAGACTAAAACCAGACTAATTCAGATGAAAGTATCATCTAAATATTTATAAGATAGTCTTATCTATATAATACATAATATTGTTTTCTATTTCGTACGTGTTTTAAACGAAGTTTAGGGTCAACAGAAATTATCATTTCCATATAATTGTGAGTTGAATACGTAAAATGATTTGTGAGAAGTGTTAACAGAAAAATTAGAATTTTTTTTTTTTATATCAGCCTTAATTTTTCAGACTTATTTATATACATGTAGCTGTAATATGATAAAGTGTTATTATAAATACGTTTTATCTTATCTCTGTATATATATAATGAGCCGTTTCTTAGGGAACCGAGGGTTTGGCAGTAGCGGAGTTATCTTATTTTTTGTAGTTTTTTTGCAAAACAGCTGTTGGTCGTATGTTTTTCCGTCAAATGAGAACTCACTTTTTATTTCCGAGATAAGAGTATTGACATACAGTAAAATAGTAGATTATATTCAGAAGCTTCTATATACATTGTAGTCTGTCTCATATATTCGAGAGAAAATATGTTGCTGCATTTATCGGATAAGAGTTTATTCATTAAACTTAAATTACAAGATACCTAATAGCCTGAATCGCTCACCTGTCAAAAATATATCTTGCATTGATTATTTTATAGTTCCAACCTATCATAGTTTTCGAGATAAAAGGCAAACCTCGCGAATAAGTCAAAAGTCGTCATTTTAGGGGGGGTACTCTTGAAAGGAGTCATTCAAAGAAGCCATCTGATTATTTTGGTGGAAATGGGAAATAAGTAAAAATTGATATTCTGAGCATTTTTTGCGCGAATGATTTATTATTTCTCTATCTATTATGGTTTTCTAGATATTAGACAATTAATTCATGTAATTCCTATGTTCAGGTAACATGGTTTTTAGACATGGTAGCCATGGTGGTTGAATTTTAAGAAGATAAAAAACACGAACAAAAAAATATAATACTATCGCGCTCATCCATATATATTAAAGATATCCTGAAATTTAAATACTGAAGGACCTTTAGAAATAAATCAATTTTTACCGATTATTTGTAAAGGTCATGAAATATTTAAGGATATTCTGAATTCGAATTATGAAGGTCCTGAAATACTTTAGGATAAAAAACAAGAGATGTGGTATGATTGCCAATGAGACAACCATCCTCCAAAGTTCAAATTAAGTGGTTGTATTTGCGGATTGGCTATTCATTTCCATCTATCATAACGTTATGCACGCTTACATTTGTTGCGCGAAAATTTTTTATTCACTTTTGTGCACAACTGTTTCCTGCACTTTGTGTTTATTTACAGAATATTCATTTAAATCCTTTCTTATGCAAGGTTATTTATTTTCGGCTCTTACCAGGCTAGGATGTTATTTTTCAAAATCTTCCTGCAAACCCCAACCCGGAAAATCAAATGATTGTCTCCTTAATGATACAAAAATAAAATTACCTTCGACTTTAAAGCTACAAGTCTATTGAGGAAATAAGATTGCATTTGGATTTGTGTTCATTTATATCCATTTATTTTTAGTTGATTAAATATTGGATATGCCTTTCTGTGTTAAGACAATTAGTCAATAATAAAACATTACATTTTCTGGATAAGAGTAAACGCGTTTCCGTTTAAGAGTAATAAGTTGCAGTTGTCTCCCTTACCATGAAATTCAACTTTTTAATGTATTCTCCCTTTACAAATAAGAATAATTTCAATATTTGTGCATTATTCAAAAATTATCGAAATACTTTATACCGATAAATGCTTATTAGTTTACTGTAAATCTATTTAAAAAAAAAAACTTTACAAATTTTGCTTTGTTGAAAAAATATTACAGAATATGTTTGTTCCCTGGTTAAGGGTAATGGGATAAATGTAAATTTCCTGGTTAAGGGTAATTCCCGGATAAGTGTATGACATATGTTTGACCCTAGTATCTTTAAATCTTACTATAAAAGAGGGTCACGTGTTTCTTTTTCTTTTCTCTTTTCTCTTTCTTTCCTTTTTTGCTGATAAGAAATTGGGATTTGTTTGCAGGTTTATGGTATTCTGTTGAAATATTTGTGTACGACGGTATGATGTATGGTATTTAAAAAAATTGTATGCTGACTTCATAATATATTTTCTAATGTGGTTTGGTTGTTATATCTCACGGACGTATATTCACCACCCACATCTAGTCATTCAATCAGTAAATCGCCCGCTGTTACTTCATTTGTTATATCGTTACTATTCCACGGTTGTGAAATGTGACGTTTGTATTTTGGTATGTTTCCTTCCTGTTTTCGGGTTTTATAAAAGAGTCTGATGCATTAGAATTAATTTAATCAATATTAAATTTATCTATTATTTCATTTTATATTCATATAGTCGTTACGACTTTAATTTATTCATTTGGTTTGAATATTTAAGCTTTATTTTAGACTGATTTTGCATAAAGTGTGCATTGTGCGCTGCGTATGCCTAGCTGTACTTTTAAAAGGACTTTAACGTCATATCTTTGTCATACCAAAACTGTTGGAAATAAAAATGCTCAATAATAATATTGTTTCTGTTGAAAATTGAAACGAATTCATATCTGGTTAACATTACAAACTTAGTGCAAATTAGATATATTATTCAACACAACAGTTACAATACACCGTATATCTCACATGATCCTCAACGTTTGGCAACAAATATTGCATGCAAGCAATAAATGACTATGACATGTCTTCGATGATTATTTTCTTTTATTTGATGTAAGCACAACTTTATGATAACGACCTTAAACTTTAACATGTTAAAGTACTCATTTCAAACTATCACAGTAAAAATATCGTAATTTTGTTTATAACAAGAAATGATTGTAATGATGCTGTTACGAAGTCTCCCAGACAAAGTCCCCATAAGTATAAAGCCATAAGGACTCTAAGGATATTATTCATCCAATTCAATAGAATTTCCATTTTTTTCTTAAATTGTATCAATTGAAAAAAATCTGTTCAAGGTCAAATATCAAGGTTTATAATTGACCATTGACCTTTGACCTTAAGTAGGCCATATTTTCGCATGGTCATTACCGATTACTGAAGATCCCATGTGTATATCACTAATTTTTCTCAAGTAATAATCATTTAGAAATGAAAAAAATAGAATCCCATAGGGTTCTATAGTAAACCCCTCCCTACTTGTGGTCCCTCAAAGTACCCCTTTATAGACCCCCAATGCACAAACAAAACCCTGATGGACCCACTAGACATGTTAGTCTAACATATTGTGGAACCCTATGTAAATTTGACAAGCGGTTTTGGACAACTGCTGCGGACAAGTTCAAATCTGAAAAAAACGACAGAAGAAGAAGAGGGAAGAAGAAGAAGAAGAAAAATAAAAATAATAATAATAATAACTGAGCAAGTTTCACAACAAAATGAACACGTGTGTTTAGTGTTAAATTGATGTTACAGCAACGTGATGGTTAACTACCTTGACCAAAATCTTTAACCACACACACGACGATTTATCTAATGCACGTACAGACGTAAGGGCGGACAGACGGACGGACGCAAAGACAAGAAAGCATATGGTTCATATGCTACATATACAGATTGAATCATACTAACTATATACTTTGACAAAGTTGTGTACTCAGATTTTCAAGAGTGAGCCGTTCTGCTCCACAGTTTCATCCGGTGACACCCAGGATGTCTATTCGATATGTGTACATAACTTCCTGAACGGATCATTAGAATTTTTATTATATTTCTTCCGTTTTGTATAACTGGAGCTTTTCAAGGTATTGATAAAACTATAATAAAATCAAACATTGATTCCATATCAAATGAAATTATGGCGTAGGTTGACGGTAAATATTTTCTTTATCCAATGCGTCTGTAACAGATTTACATCGTGACACCATGGATAATCTGGCAATGACCTATTGAGTGTAAATCAATATCCAAATTAACCTTTGCTTTAACTTGTTTACAGATCGGTATTGTGTTTGCGCATGCTCGAACAATGACGACGTGAATCAAAAGTATTTGAAAAACATTACCACGTGAATTGTTTATAAAAATCATCAATAAGTCTAGATAATACAGATAATATAGAAATGTAAAAAAAAAAATTCTTCGAAAAAAGGAATATTGATAAATCATGGGATGTTTTGAATCCAAAGGACACAAAATTTTTGACTTTAAGAAAAAGTCTTTCAAAAATGGAAATAATGGAAATTTACCACCTAGTTTAACAGAAAAAGATAGAGTTATTTTAGCGACATCGTGGCAACGATTAAAAACGGATGTGGAGAAAGTGGGAGTAGTTACATTCATGAAGTAAGTTTCCTTTCTTTGCATCTTATTAATTATTATGATAAGTAATAACACTTATTTTTATTTTTATTATCATTATTATTTTTATTATCATTGCTATTATTTCTATCATTATTATTAAGTATAGCTGAGACTATTATAACACATGTGTTATAGTAGTCTCAGAGTATAGCAATCATTAAATTGCCACAATAAAGTTCCCTCCCGATTGTAACAAGAGTTGAAAATACATGTAAAAGATCAAATGATAGTATTATTATATGATTATTATTATTATTATTATTATTATTATGAGTCATAAAAATCATTAAATTGCCACAATAAGTTTCCATGTACATATTTTATGATGGTATGATACTAAACCCCTAACGGGAGGGATTGTACTTGATTCTCATATGATGAAGACATAATCTTTCAATCAGTTTAATTGAGGTCTGGAGCTGGCATGTCAGTAACTGCTAGTAGTCCTTTGTTCATTTATGTATCATTGTCATTTTGCTTAGTATCTTTTGTTACCTATTCTGACATCGGATTCGGACTTCTTTTAAACTGAGTTTTACTGTGCGTATTGCTATGTGTTTCTTTATTCTACATTGGCTAAAGAGGTATAGGGGGAGGGTTTAGATCTCACAAAACATGTTTAACCCCGCCGCATTTTAGCGCCTGTCCCAAGTCAGGAGCCTCTGGCTTTTGTTAGTCTAGTTTGTTTTTTAATTTTAGTTCATTTATATGTTTTGGAGTTTAGTGTGACGTCCATTTTCACTGAACTAGCACAAAATTTTAGTTAGGGGCCAGCTGAGGACCACCTCCGGGTGCGGGATTTTCTCGCTGCATTGAAGACCCTTCGGCTGTTGTCTGCTCTTTGGTCGGGTTGTTGTCTCTTTGACATATTCCCCATTTTCATTCTCAATTTTATTACAAGAGCTGAACATAGTTGTAAAATATCAAAGTACTCATTATTATTCTTTAATTATAAGATATAGTTATTTTTAGATTGCTTCACTTAGATACCATGGACATATGCAAGAACGGGAATTAGTTGCCAAAAATATAATGAATTCCCAATGAAACAAACAAAAAATCTTGTTTTTGGTTAAGGTGTAAACTTTGGAGTATGTTCACGAAGGGTTGATATTGGCGTTACAATTTTGCTATTTGTTTTTTATAAGAACGAAATACTACACATTTCACATAGAAATAGTTGTGATATAACTATTAATACAAAATAACTTCTTTTTGGTACGTCACATTAAAAATGACGAAGTAATGACCCCCCGAAGTATGCATTATTTGTGTTGAAAAGTCAGTTTTTGTATCATTTTCAATGATTCTGAACCGTTTTTACCATAATGTACTATGGCCGCTAACCCTGATCAAGAAAGTTCTTGTGCCTGTGTATTGGATTTCATCATTGGCAACTATTTACTACAGAACATTTTGGATCCTAGGTTGCGGCCGAAGGTTTCCTCAAGCTTTTCTGTCCGAAAAATGCTTAAAATCATCGTATTGTGACAATATACCCAAAATGTTGTCTTTTGAAATGTTTTACATTTATCATTTCGGGGCCTTTTATAGCTGACTATGCGGTATAGGTTTTGCTCATTGTTGAAGGCCGTACGGTGACTTATAGTTGTTAATTTCTGTGTCATTTTGTCTCTTGTGGAGACTGAGCTGTCTCATTGGCAATCATACCACATTGTTATTTTTATATCTAATGAAGAGATTTGTTTAATCTAGTAGTGTAAGTTTTGTAAAATAGATCCATTTAAGAACGAAATTATGGCTATTTTGAAATTTTATAATGAGCTAAAAATTCAAGGCAATATTTGGCATAAAGTGAACCTTGTACTTTGATATGGGAAAAAAGAAATTTTGTGGCATACTTTTCCTGTTTCCTTTTATTTTTACTCGGAAAATTAGATTACAAACATGCTTACTTGACAATGGAAATATACAGAAATTCGAGAAAGTTAAACAAGTTATCATTTCGTGTAATGTACCTTTTTCACGTTTTGATATTCAAAAAGACATTAAAATCATTTTACAAATGATTTACAAGCATGAATTTGATATTTGTCTCACCAGAGACGGTTAAAAGCATCCTAATAATGGCTTATCAAATAGTCTTAAATGCATTTTATGTTAGAATCAGTAGGTGAAAATTGATTAGTATCAAAATTACGAACACGAGAGCGCTTTTATGTATTCATAGTTTTTCACATCAAGCTGTGATGAACCGTCTAGGAGCACTTAAACAATAAATTGAATGTTGTCACTCTACAAGAAAAAGAAATCTACAAGAAAATAAATGCATGACACTGTAGGCAATGAGCACGAAGTTATATTTTCATTTGTTTTTCATTAATAGTAATCTTTTTAATAAAAATGAAAACAGCACTTTATAAATTTCATGCGTCCGAAGCGCTTTTCTGGATTGACCTATCAGAAACTTCAATACCGAATATCTGAAAGTCACGGATGCATGAGAAACAGTTTTTGAAAAGAACTATATGACCAAACAGAACTTAACAAAAATAGACAAATTCATCTAAGGTCAACTTTGCTTGAGGGAGTGGAAACCTTAGTTTCTAAGGTAATAAGGTATACGCTCGATAATAAAGGCTAAGAAACAACAATATATCCAAAGCATTTTAGAGCAACATAAACATAAAGTGACTTAATATTTATATTAATTATGATTCTTTAATGTATCAATATGGTTATTTACTCACCGTCGTTATTCTTCAGGTGCGATAAATTAGTAAAAATAAGTACATGATATCAAACATTTTGAAAAAATGAGTTATCATAATAATAATATTGAACAGCTGACTGGAGACAGTTTAATTTAATGTAAGGCCTCTAAATCAATATTGGAGTTTATTACTTACAATATTAATAAATTTTTTTCTGAGTTAACTATTTGAAGCATTCTTAGAATATTTATATTTTTTATTTGAGTTAACTTTTTGAAGCATCCTTCAAGTCAGCTATGAGGTAGTTTTGAAAAATAATTCTGTGTTGTCATTATGTTTGTGTATGTGTTGCTTTGTTCGAATGTAATATAATTGTACCTTGTTTTATGGAGAGGGCTTACATAGGCTTTGCCTGTTGCCCAATCCAATTCAATTTATTTGAATAAAATCCTGTTTAAATCGGAAAGTGACTTAAAACAATACCGGTATAATGGTACATTATGAGACAAACAGTCGCATCGATTGATTGATTTATGTGTATAGATGTTGCAAGTTATTACTTTGTTGTGCTTACTCATTGACATGTACCTGTCCTTATATTCATGTCTAAAATGATAAAAGAAACCGTATATCTCAACAGTTTTTGTTTCTATGGAATTTGATTAATAAATCGTAACAAACTCCGATTCAAAATGAAAATGATACGGCACAAATGGAAATAGGTTATTAGCCTCATTTAACCTGACAAATTAAACCTTAACATAGGAACACAAAAATGAGGGAATCGGTTCATAAGGAATCTCAAAATAGTTTAAACTGAAAATTAGTTCTAAGGTTGATAAGTAAAGGTACATTTTTGTACATGCGCAGCTCTTGGTTGTAAGAGGTTGGACTTGAGCGATTTTACATAGATGTACATAATTTTTGCATTTGCCGATACAGATTCCAAAAACAAAAATCTTATATCCTTTCGGTAATAAAAATTATCTTATTTCGCAGTAAAGAAGGTGTCAAATCAAAGAAAAAGAGCCCTATCAAAAAAACATGAGCAAGTCTAAGGTACAAATTTCAGATCCGAGAAAAATTGATACATCTACAACGACTTAATAAAAAAAAAAACAACAACAAAAACACAAAACAAGACAAAACCAATTCAATTGCACGATTTTCAATCGCTTAATAGCTGATATCTTCTATAATAAGCCAATTATCTATCACATTGGAAAAATTATTTGTTCATTAGATCCTATTTATTTCTTGCGTGAATCGTGGAAGTAATATAGGCATACTGTGCTAGCTAGCAGCCAGATGTTATGTTAATAAACAAGAACTTTATTCAATTATCCGGTAGCTTTTATTTGCCCTTTGTAATAATCACCATTTAACCACCGGCTAACAAACAGAAAACTGGTAGAGATTGATCAACGTCCAGACTTATCACATTACTTGATGCTGGATAATCACCTGCCATCATCTGGGCTATTTGTTTTACTACTTTTTACTAGGATATTTCACCAAAGATGTACCTAATTATCTGCTGCCACCAGTTTAGAATGTAGCATTTAAGGGTTAAATCAAGTCGATATTATAGCTGTAGATGTTATATTACAGATATGTTGCTTTTTAATTATCTAAATGGCATTGTAGCGTATGTTTAATGTAACGAGATTTGATTTTTTGACTATACTTGCTGCCTTAATATAAAAATAAAGAGATATGGATATAAGAAGATGTGGTATGAGTGCCAATGAGACAACTCTCCATCCAAGTCAAAATTTATAAAAGTAAACCATTATAGGTCACATGATAGCCAATTAGACAACTATCCAGCAAATTTCAAATGAAGTGGATGTAAACAATTATGGGCAACCGGACAGCCTTAAACAATGAGAAAAAACATAAGTTTTCAAAGATGTAATATACATGCTGATTACAGGAATATTCTGAAAAGTATAGAAAATGACTACCGTCTCAAACCATTATAAATGACGAATTGCTTTCTTAAAGGTTTACCCCAGAGTTCCTATCTAAGCATACATATAAGCCACCAATTTGTAAACCCTAAAATTATAACAACACTGTATTAAGAACACTTGACCATCCCTCCTTAGAATGAAATGAAAGAAAGAGCGTGACCCGAACCCCCTCCTTTAAGGATGATAGTTACGAGCGACGTACATTATACAATTATGGCCCGTTGAAAAGGTGAATATCCAAAATTGTCAACACGAGAAGGTTATTTCACTGGGGGCGCAGCCCGAAGTGAAATAACTTTTTAGGGTTGACAATTTTAGATATTCACCTTTT